CTCTGTATGTATTATTGTAGGGCCACCTTGCAATATAAGGAGCCTTGAGGCTGTTGTTGTTGCAATTTGGTGATCTATAAATAACACTGAAATGAAACAAATAGTAATAATAAAGAATTATTTTAAAAAGTCTTCATCACCCAACATTGCTTCACGCATTTATTATCAGTACAATGTGGCAGCATATAATAAAACCCATGGTGACATTTTTAATCTAAGAACCATAATGTAGTTTGGCAAATTAATAATGTTAGTGGCTCCATAATATAGTTATTTTTCTGTTTGCCTAAGAAGTGAAAGATCCCTGATTTGATTCTGGTTAGCAGCACAAATTCTTAACATATGAAGCTGTCTGTTGTGATGAGCTTTTGTGAAAAAGGGAACAGCTGAAAGTATTTTTTCTCCCTTTTTTGATGTTTTTTTCCAGTGTATTTTAAGTATAGATGAAACTGCGTTTTTAAACTGTAATATTTGTAAACTTTAATCCCTTTGATTGATTTTAAACAAACAAACAAAAAAAACCCACTTCCTCTGAGGCAGGTTACCCGTCTGCCACCCACTCCCATCTGCGCTGCACAAACACCTCCTCTTCCTGCCTTTCTCGGTTCTCCGTTCTGCTTTTCCCTGCACCCGCTTTATTCATGTTGGATTTACCTTTCCATTATATGTATATGTACATTTCTATTATATTGCAGTTGCAATAGTGCAGTCTGAGCCACACAGTTCCAGTTTGATTTTAACCGTATCCATTTGTGGACTTTGCTTTTTGCTCGATTTTTATTTTTTCCGCCTGTTTCCTGTTTGTGTCTCACTGCTTTCTTCACCCGCCTTTTCCAGCATTACTTCTAACAAAAGGTGAGCAGTTTAAACTTTTAATCTGAATTTAATATCAGTGTCTCTGATTATATATGAGAGTGCGACGATGGCGCACTTGGACAGTTCTTTTAAACTTGACAAACAAACAAAGTCTCCACTGTAGTTAAATCTAGCTTTTACCAATAGCCTTATATACCCAGTAAGGACCTTGAGAAACTTATCCATGCCTTTATTGCATCTAGATTAGACTACTGTAACTCCCTCTATTTTGGCCTCCAATCTACCCTTCTCCGCAGACTTCGGCTTGTTAAAAATGCGGCGGCACGCCTCTTAACTGGAACTGGCAGGTTTGATTCTATCACCCCTATCCTCGCTGACCTGCATTGGCTTCCCATCAAATACCGTATTGATTTTAAATGACTATTGGTTACCTTTAAAATTATAAATAACATTGCTCCCAGCTATCTTGTTGAACTTCGCAGCTTGTACGCTCCTAGTAGATGGGCCTGTTGCTCTTAGTGCAACCTAGGGCACGGTTGAAGACCAGAGGGGATCGTGCTTTTGCCATAGCTGCACCCAAACTCTGAAATAATGTTCCTATTGCTATTCGTGAGTCTGAATCAGTTCAATCTTTTAAATCGCGGTTGAAAACCTTTTTATTCAATTGAGCCTTCCCTAGTTAGTATTTGTATCCTGCAAATGTTCTTTTATGTAGTTTTAATGATTTTATTTTATTTTATTGCTGAATAATCTCCTAGTCGAGTTGT